GGAGCAGCTTACAAGGAAGAATGTTATAAACACGGTAATTAACATTTGGGTTTCGTAAATGGCAAGAAATTACTTGAATACCTGAGCAACTATTAGGTTGAAATTATTGGTCATACATACGTATAACTCTGTTTATATACACATATAGGATTGCACAAATACGCAATTCTTTGGCGCATATTCGCGAATCACCAAAGCTGCTTAATAAATAAACAGGATTAGTGAATAGATTCAGACTTCAGGAATGTTATCAGCAGAGTGCTGAGTCCACAGCATCAAACCTTTAATTTAAATTACGTCGGGGCGATAACGGATTCGCTGCATGTGAATTTTACTATCGCTGTGGTTGTGCGCTTTAGTCATTTACGTCTCTTAAAATAAAGCCGTGCGTGTGGCGACATAGATTTCATAACAACTCATACCCACTGTACCGACAAAAAGAAGATAGATTAAGATAAAATTTGATTTATTACGTTTCCAGATACTAACGTTATCAGGTAATATATTTTTTACTTCGTATATTCACAGAACAAATAGAGTTAGGACACTCCTCACCCCTACCTCATCGACAGAAGAATATTCATTTTCTCATGAAGAAAACTATGGATTGGTATTATCCTACTTGAAATCTGAGAAAATACCTTATATCTTTTGGTGGACTTCCTGTTTATACGTTCAACTTTGCAATATATTTCCAATGATTTTTATAATTGAATTAGGAATGTAGTCAAGATTAGTAACTTATCACGTTTCCGATGGAATGAGAAAATTTAACCACAATCCGCATTATTATTTAGAGAATTTTACTCGCGAAGTGGCAGAGAGTTTATTCCCTAAATTACAGGAAAATGTGCAAGACTGATAATTGATACACATATTTACCTAATTTATTATATTTGTGGATAATTTATACGGTTATGCTTGAAATTAGTTTTATTGCCTTAAATTAATTATTATTATTATGAAGAAAAGATAGAAAATTAATAATACAGTTGAAGATAATATTACGTGCAAGAAGGTACTGAAGGTTTGTGTATCTAGAACGGGCAAAGGCAGATGGCTCAGGATAGTAGGATATTATTATGTTAACGAAAGGAAGATTAAGAAATGCTGGAGTAAGGATTTAGAGGCATGTACAGGCTGTAAGTGAAGACAAACATCATAATCATTATTATTTTAATGAAACGCTCTTTACTGTATTAGCCGACACCATTAACTATTTCATCTAGTATGTGCATTTTCGTATGGTTCTCACTGTAAACAGCAATTATTTCATTAAACAGCATTAACCAGTTGATATTTGTAATGGCGAAGACTTGTTCTCGTTTCATAACGGGCTGAGTCATTAAATATTATTTAGAGGAGCTATGGTTTCAGAAGGTTCCGTGAGTTATATGTGTAATCATGCAATAACAATAACCGAATTGTAGGCATATTTAAACAAAAAAATATTATCCACCAACTTTGCTTTAGTTTGTGTTGCTTGTTTTTGATAATATATATATATATATATATATAATGATCTATCGTGAAAAATGCTTGGTCAGTGAAGTTTAATAATGCTTTCGGAACATTTAATTTTGATTTATATATCGCCTTGATGGAGCAGTAAGGCTACGGAAAATTGCCTCATTCAAATTTCGGCCAGATCACTTGCTACATTGTGTGAAGATTTCGTGGTACTCCATATGAATCACGTGATAGTATTTTAAGGTAGTTCATGACTGCTTCAGACTAGTTTACTGCACAAAATCACACTCTTAGCATATTCAAGACAAATACCTCACATTGCAGTCCATTAGGAGGCTCTGTGTTAAACGTGAAAACCGCATGAGGTTTTAGCATTTTCCAAAATATATAAAAGTTGGGGGGGGTCAATGTTTTATTTCATGAGTTTTTAGTTTAGTTGATTCTGTACTATCATCTCTTGTAGTTATGGATCTTACCGATAGATTGCACACCGAGGATGAAGTGATCAGTTAACAAAAATGTCATAGTCTATATCACAGTACGAGATAGAAATTAATCAATCGAGATGGGATTTTTTTCATACCATAAAAAGATAAGATGGTGACACCGCTAGTTTAAACGTAAATCACCGGTGTTATATGGGATTATGTGTTGTATTTGCACAATCTACTAATCATGCAGAAGGGATTTGAAGGTATCGTAGAATTCAACGGGTTTTTAAACGAAGCGTAAAAATTTTCACGATTAGGTTTAGCCTTGAATATTTAAAATGATAGTACACGTGTATGTATATGTAATGTACGACACCCGGTAATAAATCAACTGCAGTAAATACCTTGTTAGTAATATACAATGGAAACATTATTACTTGTACTTTATTCCTGTGAAACAATACAAAGCTTAACTAGTGAGAAGCGGTTAAATACCTTCCTTATCGTTATCACAAAATTTACTAATCAGTGTTGAAAGTAATTATCGAAATACATGACTATACAGTGCTGAACTGCAGGTCAAATCATCGACCGAGTGAGAGTTTTTGTGGTTTTATTCAGCCCTACCAGATATATACCAGTATAGTGAAAAGGCTTATTACCATACAGCGCCATTGTGGTAAATGAGTCTATGATGCCTTATTCTTCATCTTTTAAACTCAGCTTAATGATAATTGACTGTTATTTAACGTATGTTTCTTGCACTATATGAAATTTATTAACGACACATGAAAATCTAGGAGCTTGAAAATCATTAAGTAACGGTTATTTCAAGTTCTGATAAATAAATGAGCAGATCAGTTTAAGTTATTTTAAGAATCATTTAAGCAAAGAACTGGTATGTCAGTTATACTAACAAAACTTCCAGAGGGATCGAACCTTGACAACCATTTTCGGAGTGCTCCATAAGACATGCATAAGAACCTATCAGTCGGATGACATCTTTTTACCAGTGATAAAGTATTCTACATGATTTTACGTGATTCTACTCCAAAATGTTCTCGCATTTGAGCCTATCTTACTAGGTGAATTAATTTCAGTTGCATCAAGACAACATAAGCCGTTAGGACGTGAGACAATCCGCGCTGTTACTGGAACCAACTACAAACATTCTGAATACGTCTATAAAGGAAACTACAAAACAACAGAAATGCTCCACTTAAATTAATCATTTTAGTTCACTGGATCTTTCAGTTAAGGTGCTCGTCTGTAGATAAGAGTTAAGCTCTTCTCCACAGAGTACATGTGTTGGTTATAGATAAAGCATAAGATGTATCACTATTTGTTTAACAAAAAACGACAACCATTAAATCAAGGTGTTATCGTGAATCAGTTAATATTTATGTACGTTCAAATTAAGTGTTACGTGTACTTACAGGGCAATTTTGAATGACATTCTGAGAAAGTTTAAAATCATACGAGTAATGAACCTTCAGAAACGTGACATTTTGAGTTCTCACTGCGGTGAGAATGAAGACGACTGTCTTCCGGGTTGCGCCGAGTAGTCTAGTAGAAATTTTATTTTGGTATTGTACAGTTTATTTCAAGACAGACCTCGGCAAGGAACGAACACTTCCTGTAATTCTCTTTAATTACTGGGAACATATATTTATAATAATTACGTAATTTAATTATTGTGTTACAAAATATTTTATAATTGTCTCGGACGGAAATAATTTCTGTTAATAACCTGCAGCAGAGTCCTTGAGACGCTAGTAATTGCTCAGCTAATGAAGAATTTCCCCACCTTACCCAAACAAAAGCCACAGATCTATCTCCTGATCAACATGAATCCATTTCATGTCGTCACATCCTATTTTTGTTCCTTGCTTGATTTCTGCAAATACGGTCTGAACAGAGTCAAATCATTTCAAACTGCATTAGGATCTCCGATGATTACGTAACTGGGATAAGAAGAACATTATAAATAATTTTAAGTAAAGAAATTATCCAGCAGCTATAGGTATAAACAAATAAAGAATGTTTATAATTCTAAATAAAACACGAACAAATTAGGATATTGCGTGTGTAGATGTAGAAAGAGACAGTACGCAGGTTTTATTACAACCGTGTGTACTAAATCTTTGGTTGAACATTCTGTAGATAAAACTCTTAGGATAAAAAATTATATCTAAAGTGTGTTCCTTCAAATAATCTAGACACATCACTAACAAATTACAACAGAAAATTTGCTCATCAAGTTGTGATGTGAAGACAGCAAAGGTCAGTTTTATCAAATCCACAAGAGTCTTGTATGTAAGGAAACAATTCGACGACGTGCAGTGAAGAATTCGGGTTGTTCACACATAGTCTGATTTATCTTATCGCGTGAACGGGAAGACATATGTTCAACATGTCGAAATACATCAGATACATCGACTGGGATTTAAAATAAAAAGAACGCGTGCTAAAATAGCTGAATCTGTCATTTGGAATGACTAAGAGTCTGCTTTCTGGATATATTCGCAATTAAAGTTTCATACTTAAGGATGAAGTGAGTGAGGCATTTAACACACACGGGAGAGAAATGCGAACAGCATTTTAGTTGGAAAGCCAGAAGGAAGTATACCCCTTGGGAGAACTAGATGTAATTGTGAGAATTATATTAATTAGAATGTTTCTCAAGGAGAAATTGGATATGCAGATGTGGAGTGATTTATCTGGCGTAGGATACGATGGAGTGGAAAAGTAGCTAATTTTATGGTTCCATAAAAGATGGAAAATGTCCTGTCTGGACAAGCAACTATTAGCTTTCAAAAACCTTACCTCTTTGGAGTTAATTAGTACGTTCGTAATGTCTCTGTATGCATAAATAAAGCCATTTGGTCTATAACATGCTGATAAATATATAGAAATGGAGGGACGCGGTGAAAATATCTGATTTCTTTTGCTGTTTATAAAAAACTCGATTGTTTTCGTCTAATTCCACCAAACTGACAACCATCGCCACGTCTCATTGGACGTTAAAAACCCAGATCACTCGGCAGAACTTTGAGAGCCCACGGAAACTGTGACAGAACAGAAATGAATGGAACTTACCACGGTCCTTGCTAGTGTTGGAGCCTTCTGGCGGCCCCGGAAGCAGAGGAGGATATCGGTGTATCATGGGCAGGAACGGAGCACCCCACAATCGACTGCAGTATGTTGTGAAACCCAGTCCCGCCGGGGGTCCTGGCAGAGAAGGAAACAGGCTCGGTACCCCACCTGATCCACCTGCTGAGACCTGCTGCTGACCTCCGCCACCTGAAAGACCAGCCGCTGCGCCTGAAAGTAAAGCATCATTTAGGCAACATTACTCTTGCAGTGTAATGGTTAGAACCTGTCTTCCTAACCACAACGTTATATTTTGTGTGTGTTTGGAATTAACGCGGCGGGATATTTAATTAAAATCGAAATAATTAACCGACCAACTCCATGGAGTAGTCATTCTTGATAGTGTGCTACTGACTCATTTAGGAAAATTTCCGTCTTATATGGACCCAAGTTTCATTATCATGTTACAAGAGCCTGTCACTGGACTATATCCTGAAAGCCAGATGAATCCAGTCCCAGCCCTCACACTCTATTACTGTAAGCCAAACTTATGCATGTGGAAATACAGCTCCATGTATAGAGGTAAATGATCAGTTCTAGCACCAAGAAAGAGTTCCCAGTGCCCATTAGACTGGAGGCTGGGTGGGCCCCAGAGTGTGTCTAAACTCGGTGGCGAAGAAAAATATCCCTGCCCAGTCGCTCAACTCTTAGCCTACGCCCTATAAGGAAATCTTGTCCATGTGGAATGCAGGATAGAGCATTAATCCACACAGAAAGCTAACTGGTTCAGTTATCACAGGACCAAACAGGCGTACGTACAGCGTCTCTCAAAGTCAATGCCATCTAGTGTGATCGTACCAGACACTGGCATTGCCGCTACTTTGAGATTACTGAACTGGTGATTCACGCGCATCGTGCCTCTCTTGTTTCCGAGAGGCCAAGGTTTCACCTCACATGCGGCCACTTGCAATGATTCACCTCATTTTTTTTTTAATTCGCTCCAGATTAATGCCGAAATTTATTACAATGCAGAGCTTGTTATCTGTCGTCTCCATCACATTAGTTCACAAGGAATTAAACCAAATCTACTGTAGTTGTTGACACTTGTTCAATATTACTACCCTCTCGTGTTGGACTCTTGGTCGAGGTTTTGTTGAAGTATTTTCGAGTCCATCCGTACAAATTCTGGAATAGTAACTTCAGTCCAGAATGCGTCTTTCCACGTCTTTCTCAATTATTTATAGACTCTAATCCTTCAATATTTCATATCCTGTGACCAGTTCCATGGAATTGTATTTCTTGAAAGTTAACAGAAATTGAAGATAATCCATTTTAGTTTTATTTTCCTATCTACGCCCATGTTTTCAGTACTGTCTTTTCCATTTAGGCTTTCCGATCAAAATGTTGTATCCGTAATTTCTTATTTCTTCCACGGGTGCTATATGTCCGCTCATCTGACCTGCCTTGATTTTATTAGACTATGCTATTAATAATTAATTGACCACAAGTCCGAGAAGACGTATAGGATAATGGAGTTAGATCTCCACTGGATTTAGGTGTGTGGTGCTGCTCACGGCTGGGGCGGGGATTGGAAAGGAGCTATTGCAATTGAAATATTTGGTGAATAACGTTTGTTATTACAGTGCAGATGAAAGCGATTTCCTATAAGGGGAGGGAAATGGATGCTGCGTCTATGTTACTCAAGTTATTATTCAAGTTCTTGGTTATAAATTTCAGGAATAAGAATTGGTGTTTCATGTCCAGAAGACATGAATCATAGATTAGTGATAATATGACAGATGCTAAATCTAAATGTTTATCGGCGGATATTGGGCTTATCCGTTGTCATTTGATTGAATTATAATATACGGAATTATCCATGAAGGATTTGAAACAAAACAAATGCCTTCTTTCACTTTTTCCGAAATTAATCTCGTGAATGATTCTTAATGTTAGATAAGGAAATTTATGGTATTTGCAGTAATCCACAGATTTAATTTCTGGAGATAATTTTTCCACAAGTTCTGTCTATTGGAATACGATTAATGAGTGTCGTAATAATGCTATTACAGGCGAAAACGCACAAATAAAATCTTATCTAAATTTTTGGTTTTTATATAATGCGGGAATAATCCATAAAGCGGAGTCCAAGTTGAATTTAGTTCAGTACATTGTATATGCTTACACGTATGTCCCTGTGGCTGTGGTGTACTGGGCAAGTCATCGAGGATTGTGGGTTTGAGACTCACTAGGTGTAGAATGTTAGTTTTTCTTTAACATTATGAAGATTCGGAATTTTATTAATTTACTCATATTTTTTACAATGCTAGTGAAAATTGCCCGTTTGATCTGATAGGAATGTACATTTTAATTAAAATTAGCACGCTGGATAATGTCTAAGACGTTTGTTGTAATAATATGCCATCTTTACCGAACCGCAGAACATCAGATTTAATTTACTTGAAGATGGCTCTCTTCTGGATTTTAGCGCCGTGCAGTCCAGTAGAGGTTTACCAATGTTTCGGGGCGATCTCCCTGATGATGGAGACAGCAAGGACATTTGAAATGTTGATAGGGCAGAGTCTGCCTTGATTAGCTTATAGGTGCTTAACTATTCAAGAAATTCCCTGGCTATTATGGGACCGGATGATTCAATACCGTGTCTACACGAGCCCTTCAACAGTCCGCACCCTGGAAAAGATAAATCCACTCTCCCACACCGTTTACTTAAGATAGTTTAAAATATTATCATCTCTTTCCGCCTAGGTCGTCCGAGTGATCTCTAACCTGCAGGTATTCTAAAAAATGTCATAATTTAGATTACTTTTAAAGTATTTGGATTATATATTTTTCCGATCATTTTTATATAAAAGTTTGTTAATTTAAATTTGAAATTCGTAAAAATATAGGCTACTGAATTTGTATTAGTTAAGCATACTATATTTTATGATTCAAAATAATGTTACTATGCTTTATTAAACAGCGTTATACTAAAATGTATCTCAAAATTTTCTTAAACAAGCATTATTTTTAATATATCCCACCATCTATCATTTCTGAAATGTCTGTTATTTGTTGCGAAACATTTCGACGCCGTTAATGCTTATACACACAAGGACAGGTTTGGACCGGTGTACTCTTTGGATTACGGTAAAATTCCAAAGGCCGGGGATGGCGTCTGCAGAGCAACAACGTTTCCAAAGGTAAAAGAGGTCTGAGGTGCGCTCCAGCAAAGATCTCGATTTACAATGCTGCTGAAATTCGAGACAGACAGATATTTTTGGTCGCATGAGGGGCGTGAAGAACTGCTAAAAACAGAGGTCGTAGGAAAATCTGTGCCCTCTCAGTCTGAGGGCACTACGTCTGATCCTAGAGAACTCGGCTTCTTCCTCAGTGTGACCCTTAATGATGTCATAAATGACCCCAGTCATTCAATTCGTGAGTCATACCCAAGCAATCATTTTTAACCCAAAGTACTGACGGGCCAGCCTGGCGCCTAATATGACGTCACTCACACTTTAATCATATTATTATTGTTGTGTTCATTCAATTCCATGTTTCATTTTGTCTTCGTTGTCCTCCTCGCCGTCTTACAAAAAATTACAATCGAATTGGCGATGACCCGACAATAATTGTCTGCCTACAGACAAATCGTACGCAGTTATCGAAAATTACACAGACCAGACTTTCTCAGTGACAGAGCTCTTAACATTATTTTATGTATGTACCTGATTCGAATCTCAGTTGATATCAGGTCTTAATTTCGTAGTCTCTGTAACTGCTTTGTTTATAGGAATTTAGGCTGGAAATTGCTACACCACTCTCGTTTTTTACACAATTTCGATGAGTTACAACTCATTTGAACGTCTTGCTAAGTGTCCCAGAAATTTTAATACCTTTGTCTCTAACTAGGATTTTAATTGTACTGTCATTGAAGAAACTGGTTTTGTACACATATTTTAGTGTATGAAATTACATGTCTGGTCAGATATAATGACGGACATGGTATTTTTAAAGTTTTTTTTTAATGGACATGGTGTTTTTTAAGGTTTTTTAGTTTTCAATGTCCCTAGAACGCAATTTTCAATCCATCAAGAGATAAGTACTTGTTTCGTTTCTCATAGTCGCGTGCCATCTAGTTTACGACGCGTGTCATTTGTCTGAGAAGTAACAAGGGACTTGCGGTGTCGAAGAGCAACGCTATTTTGGTCTCAAGATAGCTGTCTTCTGGGTTGTTGCGCCTTATAGCGAGGTAGATGTTTACTGGCGTTTTATATGATTCTTAGAGTAAACAGTGATTATTTCCCTGATCATCATTAACCGATTGATCTATGTAATCGTTACATGTTGAGTTTCCTTTGCGATACGGCCTGAATACTGAAATATTATTTAAGCAAGCTTTGGCTTTAAATGGTTAAATATCATTTTAGTACATTAACTATATAATGAAAACGGAGTCATAAAATATTCCTTTACTGGATCCATTAATGGGAAACTTTGCTTGTCCAAAACGTGTGTTTGATTTATTACGTACGTCGCGTTTAAATTAACAGCGCGCGAAAACACACGACTCATGGCATGCTGATGAAACTACAGACAAAATTCTCAACGTTACTGCGATGTTACAGTCGTTATTAAATCCTGAAGTGATTATTTTGGATTTATTTTACAGTAGTAATATAAAAACACGTTATTTGTGCCTCGTGATGTTAGTTCATATCCCCAGCGTTTAACATGGTAATTAAATAAGGATAACTTCCTATTCAAAATCATTATTACACAATTTTAACCCACACAAACAGACTGATGCTTTGGGGAAACTTGTTAGTGTAATGAATGAGTTTCGGTGGAAGCCATAATGGTTTATAGTGCTGAATGTCAGCCAATGAAGTCTTGGGTTTTCGAATACTTGTGGCAGTTCAAGGCAAATTGTCTGCTTAACAAACTGACCACTTAATTAACAAAGTAGGTTCACAAGATAGAAAGTGAACCGAGATTCTTGTTCAGAAGTTGACTTCACATTAACTTTAATCTGACGTAGATTTGAGTGACCTAAAGTAATTGACACGAAGATTATTTTGATTGCTCATTATTTGTTAATGATTTAAAACGAAGTTGTAAACAAGCAATAGAGGGATTATAGAAACAACCTTCGGACACCATATTGCGAAAGAAACATAATTTTTTTACACGAATCGGTAAAATTTTCAAGTGAATAAAATGCATTGATC